TAAAATGACCGAGTTGTTGGGTGCATCTAAAATTTTTGATTACGAGCCTAGCAAAAACATATTGCATATTAAACATATAATAGATTACTACAAATTTTCAAATAGAAAATTTGAAAAATGTGTTCAAGAATTGCTCAAATTTAGTAAAGGGTTGAGTGGATTCACTAATATATGTTCCGATGATCAGTACACCCTTTTTAAGTACGGGTGCCCAGAGATGTATGTTATTAGATGCCTTAAGCCATGCTATTATTATAATTATAGCTATTTTAAGTTTAACTTGGTAATTCATTTGAAAGTGAATTGTATGATATTATATTGCCTAATTTAAATATGGTTTCATTTAGGATAACGACACATCAATTATCTTTAATTTAGATATTTTTAGAAATGTGGTAGCCAGGTCATATTTGCAATTCCAAAATTCATTCGTGGAGTATTTAAACAATTTCCTACCCCAATGGAACCGGGATCGTACAATACTGGAATTGGTATTGATACATTTACTATTGTAATTACAGAATCTGTTGAAATGTATATTTTATATTTCTAGCTTAATTCCATAGCACTGTTTAACCCGAATCGTCCCAACCTTAAACATAGACATAATATTAAGTATGTAACAATACTTGCTATTAGTGTATTAGCAACATAATATTTAATTTAGTAACTATTTTTTCTATTTACATAATAGACTGGAACAGCAATTGTATATTTATTTACTCCAAAGATATTTACTATTGAAGTGTCGATCAGAATATGATTCTCACGAAAGGTTGTGTCAACTAATGACAAATTTTCCCCATATCTACAAAATAGCTGAATTACAAAAAGAGGCTAATCGTGAAGAATTTACAAATTACCCACAATGCTATGGGCCACTAATCAGGGAGGTATATGATCTACCAACACCTGAATAACATTTAATTTATTCTAATAAATTCATATTTAAACTAGTATTTAAAACCACTTTAAAGTAATTGTAAGAAATGTTATAAAAACCTATAAATTACAATTTTAATAAAATTGTAAAATATTTATTTATTCAAATATTATTCACATTATTATGAACCACTGATCAGGGAAATATATGATTTATCAATTTATGCATAACATGTTTATTTTGTTTTAAAAGTATAAAACTTTGTATGTAATAAATATCCAATTTTAAATCTTATTACAATAATTTAATATAAACTTAATAATGATACACAATATTTTTGACCTTAATTATTAAAATTTACAAATAATATTAATTGTTATAATAATTTGCAATATTTATTTACATAGATATCATAGCTGTAAAAGTGCATGTTGCACTGTACAAATGATTTTTAATGACAATAATGCATTAAATATGAAAACAACAGCTATTTATCATGAATATAAAAGCGATCATTTACTTAGCGATTTAGTTTT